TATACATATACATATACATATACATATACATATACATATACATATACATATATACAGAGAAAGAGACAGACACAGAGTCAGAGAGAAAGAGAGAGAGAGAGAAATATACTCAGTTGGGTGTAGAAATCTATCTTATACAATAGGAAAATAGGAAATGAAAAGACTAAGAGAAAGGAGGGGAATGATAAAATGAAAGGCAGATTAAGGAAGGCAGTGGTCAGAAGCAAAAAAAAGGGGGGGGTTTGAGAATGAACATAATATAAAGGGAGAGAGAAGGATTAACAGAAGAAAATGGGATGGAGGAAAGTACACAGTAATAATGACTGTGAATGTGAATAGAAAGAGCTCACCCATAAAAAAAAGAAGTGGATAGCAGAATGGATCAGAAACTAGAAGCCAACAACATGTTATTTAAAAGAGACTGACCTGAAACAGACACACACAGAGTTAAAATAAGGGTCTGGAGCAAAATCTCTTATGCTTCAGCTAAAGCAAAAAAAAGCAGGAGCAGCAAGCAAAAATAGACTCAATTGAAAGAGATAATTAGGAAAACTGTATCTTGCTAAAAGGTATAGATAATGAAGTAATATAAAAAAAATGTATAACAAGTTTTTTTTTCTGATGAAGACCTCATCTCCTAACTATTCAAGGAGCTGAGTTGAATTTATAAAAATAATAGCCATTCCCCAATTGATAAATGGTCAAGGGATATAAACAGGCAGCTTCCACAAGAAGTCAAAACTATCTATAGTCACATAAAAATGCTCTAAATCACTACCGATTAAAGAAATGAGAATTAAAATAACTCTGAGGTACCACCTCAGAAATAGCAAATGCTGGAGGAGTTGATGAAAAATAGATATACTAATGAACTGTTGGTGGGGTTATGATCCAACTATTTATGGAGAAAAATTTGGAACTATGTCCAAAGAGATATAAAATGATGCATACCCTTTGACCCACCAATACCACTACTAGGTCTGTACCCCAAAGAGATCAAAGAAAAAGAAAAGACTCACACGGACAAAAATATTTATAACATTGTTATTTTTGTTTTTTGGTCTGTGTGTGTATGTGTATGTGTGGTAGCAACAAATTAGTAACTGAGGAAATGTTCATCAATTGGGGAATTGCTGAAGATGTGGCATATGACTGTGATGGAGTACTATCACACTATAAGAAATGATGAAAGTGATGGTTTCAGGAAAAAAAAAACATGGAAAGGCCTATTTGAACTGATGCAAAGAGAAGTGAGCAGAACCAGGAGATCATTGTACATAGTAACAGCAATATTGTAATAATAATCATCTGTGAAAGACTTAACTGCTCTAATCAGGACAATGATCCAAGATAGTTCCAAAGTACTCATGATGAAAAAGTGCTATATACCTCCAAAGAGAGAACTAATGAACTCTGAATGCAAACTGAAGTGTAATTTTTCTCTGTATCTGTCTTGCTTCTTGTGATATGGCTAACAGGGAAAAGTTTTTCACCATTTCACATGTATAATTGATATCATATTGCTTGCTTTCTCAGTGCTCAGGGCAGGGGTGAAAGGGAGAGAGAGAATATAAAATTCAAAATTTTAAAAAAGTTAAAAATAAATAAGTAATAAGTTTATTTAAAAAAAAGATTTGTCTTCACGGCTATTTCTCAAATGCTATAAATTTAAGGGACATAGCAGAAGTATAGCTTTTAATGCCAGGTATTATTAGAAGGTTTATCATCTAGGGATTTATCACCTTAGGGCAACACTTGCCTAGTTCTAGGCTTCTAAACATCTGGTTATATAAAGAACAGGCCTGGAAAAAGAGAGGAGAAATTGTGAGTAAAGGATTGTCAGATATTCTGGTCAAGGATCTCTGTGTGTTGGCTGACTGTATCTAGTGATTGCTTAAGAAGCAGACCAAAAATATGCTAATTTCTAATTGCTCACATCTGAGCAGATTAGTGGATTCTAGTTTCTGGCAAAAAGCATGAAAGGGAGTTTATAGACCACCTTAAAAGCAGCCTCATTCTAAGAGCCTCATTGAACTCCAGACATCCCCAACCAGGAACTAACCATATGGGCTGATATGGCATGCAAGCAATTTTCAAACATGGGTATTTACAAGGGCAACCTCAAATAACAGTAGACTGATAAGAGATTCTGCATGTTAAACTCATATTAAACTTCTGAATATTAAATTCAGACTTCAGTAAGGAAGTTGACAAAGTCTCTTATGATTCTCATAGGAAAAATGGAGTAGTATGAACTAGATCATAATACAGTTATATGGATTTGGAATGAGTTGAATAACCAGAACCAAAAAGTAATGATTAATGGATCAATTTTAACCTGAAAGAAGGTCTCTATTAGAATTCCCCGGTGATTTGTCATTGGACTTGTGTAGTTAAACATTTTTATCAATGATTTAGACAAAAGCACAGCTAATACACTTAATAGATTTCAGACGACACAGGGCTGAGAGGAATAGCTAGCAGATTGGCTAAGAGAGTGAGAATCTGAAAAGATCTTGGCAGGCTAAATCAATGAACTGAATCTAATAATAAGATGGATTTTTATAGGAATAAACATATACTCCTTCACTGGGGTCCAAGAAGTCAACTGCAAAAACACTGGTTGCGAGAAGTTTGGCAGGGTAACATTTATGAAAAAAAAAATGATCTAGCAATTTAGTAGGTTGCAAAGGATATATTGTAACAGGGAGCCAAATAAGGGACAGTAATTTTAAGAAGCTTTACTAAGATATTCAAATAAATGACTCTATGGTCTTTTAATTTTGGATGTTCCTTACAACAATAGAAAATCTTGTAAATTTTAATATCTTTAAATGGCTTGTAAATTGATGCCTCAATACCCCCACAGTTTTGTTGCTTCCAGCATAGATATGCTCCCTACATATCTGATTTGATCTAAGTGATTTTCATGCCTTCTCTTTAGTGCCATTTCTTTTTCATATCTAGGAAAGTGATGTCAAAGTGTAATGTGGAATTTCTCTCTTTTATGGTGAAAATAACAATATTAAAAAGCATCTTTGCAGATCTTTTCCATTCTTCTTCCTTTGGTTGTTCTACTCCACTTTTCATCCTAAAATTCTTTAGGGTGGCTTTGATTAGTTAGGTTCTCTCACCAAGCTTTCTTTAAAAGGTATTACTTTTTACTGCTTCTTTATTTTATCATGTGATGCTGTCCATAATCTCTCACCTTCCTTCTCCATAGGATTTTAAAAATGTGTTTAATCTTTTTTTTTTTTAACCAGTGTTGCCTTTGGCTAACAACTTTGCAAGCAAATCAACAGATTGCTTACTAAGGCAGTTTTTAGACTCTTTTGATCTCCTTGTATAACAATTGATTTACCTAAGTTGAACTTTTTTATGAAATTGCTATAGTCTATATCTAAGTCCTTTGTCCTGCCCATTACCCATTTTTTTCATTCTAAATATTATGTTAAAATACAATTGAATTGTTTCAATTACATGGTATATATCTTAAAATTTTCACCTTCTTCTAGCTTTCTACCAGTTTTGATCTTTGCTCTAATAAGTTGGTAGTCTGAAGGCACACAGAAAGCTAATTCAGGACTAACAAGCAAAACATCAGGAACAAGTAATTTCAGGTCCATTTAAATTTAATCAATTTCATTTTTGTGATGTTATTCATTACTTTCGCTGTTCAGTGCCTGCCAATTCATTTTTCAAAGAAAGCATTCAGGATGTATAAGTACAAGACATCTGTGAAGTGTACCACTCTTTGACCTCTCTCATTCCTTATTACTAATCCATGTTGTCCAATATATTTCTTGCAATCCTTGCCTATTCCCACCTTTTAATTGAAGTCACTGAGTATCAAAGTAAATGTTGATTTAATTTAGGGGATCATAAAGAGCTCTTTGTAGAATTGCTCTACCTAGCTATCCTCTCCAACAGATGGTAGTGCATAAGCTGCAATTATATTCACAGTGGCCGTTTTTTTTTTTAACAAATACTGATTGTTAGTACTGTAATACAATATGACTAAATATCCCATGAAATGAAGTTTTTTGTTACCTTTATATATAGGATAAACCCAAGTCCCCCAATTCCTTCATCCCCAAGGAAAACTTGTGAGCTATCCTTCCATTATATTGAATTTCTTTCTTCTGGTTTTGTTTGTAATAGGAATATCAAGAATGATATGGTTCAGTTCCTTTAGTAATATATACCTTCTTTAGATAAGCAATGTGCATTTACAGTACCAATAGCTAAGTTAAAATTTACATATTGTCTAAAAATGGTATGGGTTTTTTTTAACACTTTCTGCCATCTTTATCTATTTTGCTACCATTGTTGCAAAAGTGGAGGGGGGACACACAGGATGGAGGACCATTTTATATTTTCATTTCTTTATAAGCTCATCACCAAATGGCAATTTACTACAGGTGAGCATATTCATGTGGAGGCTGGTCCTCTAAAAGTAGATTTAATCTGTTGCCAGGACCATCCCATGATCCTTTCCAGCATGATAGGGCTTGCCAGAACTTATATTCTCTTGTCATAGCTTTCCAGAACATGAGTTCATATCCATTTCCCAATGAGGCACCAGTATAATACTTTACATTATTACTGATGTTTTTGTAGAAAAATTATTCTTCTCTTGATGAATATAATTCAGATAGAAATGGCCCTGGGAAAGGTGGTATTGTACTCTTATTCTTTCTAATTTAATGTTCTCTGAACAATATAAGCAATGCAATGGTGTGGGTGGATAAGCTAACTTTTAAAAATTGTTGTATAAAAGTATTAGGATATTAGCTCATAAAACCAAATACTGTTCAGAATATACAAGGAGAAACTAGAATGAGTGATTTTTTCCACCCTAAAACTACAAAAGAGATTGGTAAGAAAACCAATCACATTAGGAAAGAGCACCATGAGTAAATCTAGCACATGTGTAGGATAATTTCCAGCATAATAAAAGACAAGCCAGGCTTGTAACTTAAAACGTTCTGTGTTTACAGGAAACAAGAATGGAGGGCTCCACTGCGAAAGACCTAAGGTGATCAGAAATGTCAGAGTGGTGCTTGAAGATACCACTTACTAACGTTCAATGATCTGATTGATCTAAGTTCAGGAGGTAGAGTTCAATGTGAGAAACCAAGTGACCAAGGAACAGACAAAGCAGATTAGACCACCCCACCCTAAAGTGTGGTAGAGGATAGAGCTTAGCTCTACTACATAATTCAGGAACTAAAGCTGGACAGGTAAGTAAATCCAAGGAAACCATGACCAGTGTCAAAAATTATCAGAGTTCTAAAAATTGAACCAAAGTATAACAATTGTAAGCAGAGACCCAAAGGGGAAAAATGTACTTTTTAAAAGGACTCCATAGATACCTAGAAGAAACAAAGTAAGCTATTAAAAAGGAAATAAAAAGCTCAAGACAAAAGAATTGGAAGAACAAATTACTCAGCAGAGAAATTGATAAACCATATCCAAGAAGTAGATTTTAAGAGACCGCCCCCCCAAAAAAAAACCTTAATGAGACAAGATATATTGGAACAAAAAATAAAAGATTGAAAAAGAGAAGAAAACAAGCTAATATGAAAAAAAAAATCAACCTGGAGAGATAACTTAAGAATTACTAGATTCCCTGGTAACCAGGATTTTTTTAAAGCCTGGAGAGGAAATGTAACTCTCTATATAAAAATTAATAGTAACTCTTCTCATAGTAGCCAAAAATTGGGTCATGAAGAGTCAGACATAACTGAAATGACCCAACAACAAATACCAAATAGTCCAGGAGGCAGAGATGAGGAGAAAGAGTATTCCAAGCATAAGAGAGAGTCAGTGAAAAGTTATGGAAAAAAAAAAATCAAAGCATTTCCTGTATTTGTTTTGTTCCCAAAAAACAAAGTACCTCTTAGTTGAAGAATGTCTACACAAATCATGGTACAGAGATGCAGTGGAATGTTGCTGTGTTGGAAGAAATGACAATTATGAAGAATTCCAAGAATCATGAGAAGACTCATATAAACTGATACAGAGTGAAGTAAGCAGAACCAGAAAAACAATATATACCATGACTACAGCAATACAAATGGGAAAAATAAGCACCACAAAACCAAAAACCACATACAGTTATCCTTTCCACATCATGATTCTCCCCATCACAGTTTTGATATATCATGGTTTGGCATAAGAAATTAAATGGGAATTTTGGAGGAGTTTTGTGGAAGCTGCAGATAATATGTGAAGGCTAATAGATGACATAGAAAAAGTTTAGAAACTCAGAAATGCATAAAATATACATATAGTATTATATAATATCAATATATTTTGTCTTTTAATAACATAGAAATACAGACTTCTCTAGTGAAAAGAGAAGGACAAAAATTTTACATGGATTTTCCAGATTAAGGGGGTGCCACACCACTAACCCCCATGATGTGGAAGAGATAACTGTACTTATAATGACTTAGCTTAGACTTGGGGAAAAGTTGAGGAAATGTACTTCCTGCCCTTCTTTGCAGAGATAGTGGACTCTGAGTACTGAATAGTATACATATACACACACACATACATACACACATATGTATATGTTTATGTGTGCATGTATATATATATATATATGCATATATATTCATACATGGTTAATATTTTGACTGGTTTGGCTGAACTTATTTTTCCCTTGCTTTTTTATTCTTTGTTATGGAGGATGGCTCACTGAATAAAGAAGAGGGTATGGATATATTCAGAAATTAAAATGGTATAAAAATAAAAGCTACCAATAAAATAAATTTTAAAAAAATTAAAAGTTTGTCATCATAGATTCAGACCAATCTTCAATCTGATGAGGTCTTTCTGTATACTAACTTTGTCACTCAAATGTTAGATTTCCTTTCCAGATTTGTATCATTTGTAAGTTTGAGAAGCACATCACCTATGTTTATTTATCTTGTCCAGAAAGATATCATGAGAGGCTTTAAGTAAGTGCTTTGCTGAAATCTAGATAAATACAGAACTAAATCATTTCCTTTATGCATCAATCTAGCTACCTTCTCAAAACAAGAAATGAATTTAGTCTAGAATGACTTATTTTTTCTTGATGAAGTCATACTGGCCATCTTTATTATCATTCAATCTTGTAGATATTCACTTACCATTCCTTAAATATTACATTCCAGAATTTTTCTACTCCTCCTACACACTTTATTATTTTCCTTTTGAATAAGCTATATCTTTGCAGAACCACACCTGTCTCATGAGTCCTTGTTCCTCCAAGTTCTAGTGATATCTATAAATTCAAATGCCTCCTTTAGTTTCCCTTATTTATTACAAATACTTTTTGCATTGCGTGTTTGCGTGTGTATCTCTGCAAACACATGAAGTCATGGGTTTAACTGCTGATGCTTGTTTTGGTTTTTGTCTCCTATGACATTCTGGGCATTTGTACTGCTATTCCCCCTCCTATTTTATAGTTACTCTGTAAAGTATTTTGTTTGTTAGATGTATTGGCAGTTTACCCCCTCTTCTCTCTCTCTTTTTAGTTTAAAGACTTTTAGATTACATTGATAAGAATACATGTAAATACATTTGTAGTTACTTACATCACAATAGCTATCTCAAGTATCCTTCATTCTTCCCCTCCCAGAGATCCATACCATATGACAAATAGTATAGTTTCGAGAAGAAAGAGAAAAAAAAATTACACAACTGCTATATTTAAAAAAGCCTGAACATATGTCACAGTGGGTAGCACCTGTTACATAACCCCACCTCCATGAAGGGATAGGTTGGGGATATCTTCTCATATCTCTTCATTTGCATCACACATGATCTACATAATTTTGTTACATTTACTTTTGATTTTTTTATGTCACTGTTCTTTCCATTTACATTGTTGCAGATATGATGTGTATGGTTTTCTTGGCTCTGCTTAAGTCTTTGCTTCTATGGATTTATCATATACATAATTTTTGTAGCATAATAATATTTCATTCCATTCATGTACCACAATTTGTTTAGCCATTCCCCAATTGATGGGAATCTACTTTGTTTCCAATTTTTAGCTATCACAAAAAGTGCTACTATAAATTTTTTGGACCATGTGGGGATGTTTTTCTTATTGCTAGCTTCCTTGGGGATATAAGTTTAGTAATGGAGTTTCTGGTTCAAAAGGTGATATTTTAGTGACTTCGTTTGCATAACTCCAAATTGCTTTCCAATATGGTTATACACGTCACAGCTCTACTAACAATGTATTAGTGTGCCTGTCTTTCCACAACCGCTCTACCATTTGCTGTCGCCATATTTTTGTCATTTTTACCAAGTTTCAGACTGTGAGGTGAAACCTCAAAGTTGTTTTGCATTTCTCTTATTATTAGTGATGTGGAGTCTATTAGCTCTTATCAGGTATACTTAATCCCTGGCCAAGAGTCCATCATTCCCGTATTTCACACACTGTGATCCAGGAATCCAAATCCTATTGTCAGGCATCATCTTCTTAGTCAGCTGTTCACATGCCAAATTTATTATTCTCCTCTGAAAACTCTACCTTCTATCAGTACTTTAATGAAATTGAAGCTGCATGATGGCTTTAACAGGAGTTTATCGAGAAGATTCATATTCAGGTTGGACCAGTAGACTTTTAAGATCCCTTTGAATGCTGACATTTTGTGACTCTGATTCAAGCTACACTTGAAAGTCTAAACATATGGAAAGAAGTGAGGAAACTGTTTCAGTGGCCTGCATAGTTCTTAATATTTATTATGTTGTTGCCCCCCCATCTATGTGTTGTGTTCAAATGTAAAATGAAAAGAAGGTTAAAAAAAATATATGTAAGGAATATCCCTTTGCACTGCAGCTTGTTAGAGACATAAAGAGTTTCTGAAGAACAAAAAAAAAATATCCTTGAAGGACAGGCAGAGGAACAGCACTGAATGGCAAGAAGACAGAAATCCTTGGGCAAATCAGTGCTCAAGATGGGAGTCATGTGGTGAAAAGCATCTGCATGAGAAATATCAGTAGGAGAAACCGAAGCAATGTGATTATGGGAGGATGCTACATATTGTTCAGCCTGGTGAAGATACTGTGTGACAATTTCTTGACACAGATACTACAACCTGCATCTAGGCAGGTTGTAGTTATGGGAGGGAATTTCAACTATACAGACATCAATTGAAGTTATCTTTGCTAAAAACAGGCCATTGGATGAATTTATTGACTTTCCATTGAATCATTTCATTTTTCAGAAAGAAGATACAGGGATAAAACCTGTACTTTTATTGCTAAAGGGAACTCCCAGGTGAAGATATTTCGTCTACCAAAGCAGGTAAGCACCTCCTGTGCTAACCTTACACAGCTGCCTAGAGCAATAGCATCGAACTCAAACAGAAACAAGGCCACTAAACTGTACACAACGATCCATAAGGCTACATAGTCACTTAGTTTTAAAATGTAATATTACCTATGTTTTATTGTATTTTAAAATTCATTTTATCATGTGTTTCCCAATTACATTTAAATCTGATTTGGGCTGCATTTGGTAGCGTTGTAGGCCTGTGCCTGGTGTTTGACAACTCTGGCCTAGAGCTCTAAGAGATTGAAGGATTGATTTTTCCAGGGTACATGACCATTATATATCACAGTTGAGATTCGAACCCAAGTTTTACTAGCTTCTAGGATACATCCTGTTACCTCTCTTTTGCAAAGAAAAAATGGATAAGTAGGGCTTGGGGCCTGATGCAACACAATAAGGAAGATCCAGCGGGCAAAGTAGAAATGGTAGAAATCTTGCGAGAAAATTATTGTCACTGTAGAGTTTTAGTAGCTAGGGAAGGTAAGACTAGCCATAATCCCTAGACTGATGTTTATCCCTAGACAGAAAAGAGAATTTCAAAAAGTTCATAGAACCTGAGTACCATTGATTACTCTAATTGCATATATATAGATGTGGGATTTCAAAGAAGTACAACTTATGCATGAACTGGAGAATTGATTAGCATGTGTCCAGTCAGAGTCAGAGGCCTCCACCTCACACCAGATTAAACTGCCCTGAACCCATTCCTGTGCTGGCCTAATGTCTCACAAAGACCTAGACAAATGGGTTCCCAAAGGGACACACAGAACACTAACACACCTAGAGCCAGCCAGGCAACTGATACACAGAAAGATAGAAAACAAACAAAGCAGGAGTAGGATTCCCCCAAGTGAGGCTCCACCGAGAGCTCCTTTGCCACATCACTACTCAGAATAGCACTCTGAAAAACTCTTCCGGAAAGCTAAGAGAGCTGCCAGTCCAAAGTAATCACACCCTGAGATTTTCAAAGGATCTAGGTTCAAGAGGCAGTAAAGCTCACATAAATGAAATCTGATAAGGCAATAGGTAATAACCCTGATGAGAGAGAACAGTGTCTTATATTACAGACCAAGGTGACTCTGGGGCCACAGGGCTCAGGAGCTAGGGTTTTAAAAGGCCACATATTAAAGAGAAGAGGATGCACACATAACTAAAGATGAATGCAACAGTGGGATGGAACTCAAAAAATGGTGTCAGGAAGGCTAAAAGCTAGGAAAATGCTAAAGATAATAAAAAAAATTATTCTCTAAGCTCGGTGCATGGAGAACAAAGGAGGGATAGGCCTGCTGTTTGAGGAATATTAGGCAATGTTAACAGATGACAGGGGGAGGCAGAACTGCTCAGCTCCTACTTTTACTCTCTCTCTTTTCCTTTCAAAGAGAATGATTTTCAAACTAAAGAGGCTAGATAGAAAAAGAGGAAGGCTGCACCAGGGGCTTTAAATGAAGATTCCTGGGAAAGGCATAATGGTGTGTTAAAAGAAATCACAGCATTGGTTGCCTAAATATCCTTGCTAATGCTTGAGCAATCTAACAAGAAAGGGAGAGGTGCCTGAAGACTGACAATGGGTAATACCCTGCATTTTTGGATTTTTTAAAGGATTCCAGAAACCAGGAATCAGTGAGCTTCACATCACTTTCCATCAAAATTCTAGAAAGGATTATTACATAGTGAATGAGCATTTAGAAAGAAAATTATTGCTTACTGGAGCCAGCATGGATTCACTAAGAACACGTTCATTCTCATGCACAGAATAGTTAATTAATAAGAAAACAAATTCAGAATTTAAACAGATTTCAAGAGCATGGAAGTGGAGCTAAATAAATTAAAGTTTAATATAGATAAATATAAAGAACTGCATTTAAGCTTTTAAAAATGTCTGCATAAGTACACTGTGAAGACCTCACTTAACAGCAGCTCATGTTAAACAAACAAACAAACAAAAAAAAGACTTGAGGATTTAACTGACTTCACGCTATTCAACCTTGGGCTGCTTTTAGTGAGGTCATAATCCAAGGGTACCTTGAATGTTAAAATAGAATAGCCCTGAAATAACTGACAAGGAACATATGTTACTAAGCAAGGGTGAGAGAAGGCAAAAGGTCCAATAGGAAGCCCTACAGACAAGACTAGTGATCACACATCTAGCCCAGAGACCAAAGCTCTGTACCACAGTACCCAAAGCCCCATCCTCCTTGGGTTTAGAAATTCTTCGAAGAGGGACAGAAATTACACAAAGGAAGAATGAGCCTGAGTTGACAAGGTCAAGGAGGGAAGTCCAAGTTCTTAAATCAGATCTGAACACCAGATTGAGTCGCAGTGATCAATTCAAGATGTAGTGTAGTCGACAGCAATTTGAATGGATGTTGAAATTTTCAACACAGGAAACTTTTGACAAGCTAATCGGGCCCTCATGGCACTGACCTTTCTGATGCTGAAAGGGGAACCATCTGCCTAGTCTGCTATACCTCTCGCATAACAAGGAATGCCATAATTCCTACTGGTCAGACTGCACCTAGTGTTGAGTGAAGTTCTGGGCATCACATTGAAGTAGAACATTAACAAACAGAAACCAGCTCAGGGAAGAGCAACCAGGATATTGATGGGACCCCACCCCCTTCCCCAAACATATCACATTATAGCTAACATTTACATAGCATTTTAAGGTTTGCAAAGCACCTTACATATGTTTTTTTTTATTTGTTCCTCACAATCACCCCGTTATTGGGTGCTATTATTAACCCTATTTCACAGATAAGGAAATTAAGGCTGAAAAATGTTAAATGACTTGCCCAAGGTCACAGAGCTGGTAAGTATCCCAAATAGCATGGTTCCAAGTAACTCCAACTGTGCCACCTAGCTCCCTGTGTTAAACTCCCATTTGGAATAAGAGCTTCTTGAGGGCAAGGACTCTTTTTTGCCTTTCTTTGTATTCCCCAATGCTTATCACAGTGCCTGGCATATAATATATGCTTAATCAGTGCTTATTGATTTGACATAAACAGTTAAAAAGATGTTTAGCCTAGAAAAGAAAAGACCTGTGTGTGTGTGTGTGTGTGTGTGCAGGGATGGTGGAGGAACAACATAACAGCTGTCTTCAAAATTTTGAAAAGCTGTCATATTATGTTAAATTGATTCTATGTGGCTTCAGTATAAAGAACTAGCAGCAATGAACTGAATCCGCATGGAAAGAGATTTAAGGCTCAACCCAAGGAAGAGCATTCTCCTAATTAGAGCTATCCAAAAGCAGAATAGGCTGCCTTCTGAGACCAATCAACACACTTAAGCTGAGGCAAGATAACTGCCTATAGAGGAGATTCTCTTTTTCGGATAGAACATTGGGCCAGATTAGCTCTGAGCTTCCTTCTAGCTCTGGGGTCTGGAGATATCCTCTTCCCTAATATATGTAGTCTCTTAAGATCAATGACTCTCTTCTCTCTGCACCACATAAATACTCTTGTCCCATTTTAAGTATTTTATGGTAAACTGAAATGATTATTACCAAATAAATTACTTAGGGTCATAGCTGTACTTCTGTTGTCAAGTATAATTTGTTTAAATGAAGACCCTTAGTTTATTATCATCATTACAATCTTCATAAGAAATTATACACTTCAATTTAGGAAGCAAAGGAGAAATATAGGTTTTGTATCACTGCGAAAGCATTCATCTCAGTGAAGTTTTCTCACTGTGACAGCTGTCATTAAGACAAGGTCTTTTTTTTTTTACATGACAAATGATCACACTTCATATCAGGAAATATAAAAGAGACTGTAATTAATGAATTTGCTTATAACTGTTCCCTGATGTGAAAACATTAGCCTAAGTTCAATCTTTAGTTATAACCATATAGAAAATTTAGGTGTTCAGTGTTTTGGTAGGCGTCCTTTTCTATGTATTCTTTTACACATAGTGCTGGACTGATGAAGATGGGAAAACCTGAGTTCAAATCCAGTCTCAGATATTTACTAGTTATGTTTACTTGAACGAGTCATTTAACTTCTGTCTGCCTTAGTTTCCTCATCTGTAAAACAAGGATAATACTAGCATCCCTCCCAGGGTTGTTATTAGGATTAAATATGATAATATTTGTAAAGGGCTTTGCAAGCCTTACAGCAATACACTCTCCTCAGATTTTGTTGTGGCCTTCCAATGGTTCTGTGAACCAAGCCAGGTAAAGTGCATGGCTCCTGATCTGAGCCTCCTGGTTTGTCATACCCCTTCTCTGCTGCAGAATAAATCCCACCAAACAAACCTGGTATGAATTTGGTAAAATGTTCTGAACCTGCTCCCTCCATGGAATCTCTCGTTCTAGCTTTTGTTCCCACATTATCCTAAGGGGCAACTTCCTAACTAAATGGAATCTTGGACTTGGGAAAGTCTACCAGTCACCTAGTCCATGGCAACAACCAGCTGGGACGTGAGGCTAGTAGTTCCTTTCACTTTGAGCATTCTCAGCATGGCACCATGTTCTGGGAGATCCACATTCAATGTATCTCTGATGGCAATAAAATGAATTGGTAGCTGTAAGAGAGCACAGATTATGAAGCACTGGGGTCAGGTATCTCCCTAAAGGTTTATAGCCAGGAAAAAGTGAAGCTTCTCAGTATAGTCCTCCCAATGTATACTATAGGCTATGTACCAGTCTGACCTGGAGATTACAAAAGCAGAGGGAATGATGGAGAAGTCCTCATCTGAGAGAAGTCGTCACCATCTCCATGGTAACTCCTTCTCCCCCTTTCCAGGGAGACAGCAGCAGCTGTTCAACAGCACACACCCTGGAATAATGCAAATCAGTAGTCAGTGAAACACTCTGAATCCATTTCAAATTGTTATATGCATGAGATTTGGGGTAAGAGGAATTAAATTAACCAAGCAGAGATTTGGCAAATAGGCCCATGTTAGCATCCATAGTCCTTTGCAAAGTTCCAAGGTGGAAAAAGTCCAAGGTGGTTAGGAATTAGCTCTGAATA